GAATAGCGTTCGTAGCTAGTGCCTTTCTGGGGTTAATTATGGAGCCATTGCTTGCTCGACGTTCATCCGGAGAGCCGGTAGTCGGCCGGATAACCTCTGAGCGTTCGCTGACAACGTCAAAAGTTCTAGGGTTTTCTAAATGGAAGTCCTCCTCAAAATACACGCTGGGAACTGTGGAAATGGGAGTCGGCGCATGTAAAGCTCTTCTTCCGCTGCTTGACTTTTTCCGAGCCGATCCCGAAGGAGTGTCCAACGATGCAAGAGAAGCTAGAGAAGACTTCCTAGAAAGTCTTGGTGTCCGCACGTCAAATTCTAGGATATCCGCAAAATCGTCCGCCTTGTTGCCTTTCCGTAGCAATTGAGTTCCCCCCTCTTCCTCATTCTCTTTCGCTCTTTGTAAAGCATCATAAGTTGCCCCTACCTGGGTTAAATACGACTTAAATTCCGAAGGGTCGACATGGGGTATATTTGTGAGAGTTACTGGGGGTATATCTCGAGCAGTCGGAGGTTTATGTGCACTCGATGCGGGGGCAGAAGTGTGGGGAATAAGGCCAGTTCGAACGATCGGTGGTTGGAGTAAAGTAGATATAGCTTGCATTTGTTAGTTTCTTAGTTTCCCCGTCCGTTCTCAAAACATACCGTTCTGCCCAGATTCATTGAACCCGTGCCATTGTGAGACCGAATCCAATGTCCCCCCTATCGAATGTATCGAGCTAGCTGTCGACCCGCGCCTTGGATAAAGTCTGCTATTGGAGGAACCTGGTCTGCCTGTCATCAGCATTTTGATCTCACTTGATTCTGGGTTGCGCAACAAACCTTGGGAAAGGATATTCATTCCGACCTCCAGGAGAAGTAGGGGAAAGATTCTCCACAGAAAACCGCGATGCCGGGGAATGATCCATGGTTCTAATTATGTATTGATCACCACACAACGAGCCTCAACCTCCCCCACAGCCGCGCAATCTCAATCTATAACCGGCAACAGCAGAGAAGCGAATTAAAAAGTAGCCAAGAGAAAGCCTTCCTTCAAACTATTTAATACAGGCCACGGAGGCGCATTCGTAAGCTATTTAGTAGTCAACACGAATTTGTCGACAAACCAATCGTTATGGGGGTATCATTGCTGGTAAAAGGAAAGCTGAGGGAAAGAGTGTATCAAAATTGGCATATCGTAGAAGCGTACAAGTTGCATGTTCATTAATTCATTGATTGTTCCATTTGTACGAAGGTTCATTGATGTTTCCGTTCTTTCAGCCTTCCGTTGATACAACGATATTCGTTATCATCATTTGATTGGTCTGTCGGGATGATGAGGCTGAGCGTCGAGGCTAGAGCTGGTGAGGTTTAAACTGTGGCTAGTGAGCAGTTCCATGCAACCACTTTACACGAATCGGTCGCGTTCAAAAAAGGAGAAACGCGTCTTATCAAAAACCTCAGGATCTGCCCACTTAGCAACAGCAGGACAACAGATCAAATATCAACACTGCCAATAGCCCCGCAATTTCATATTCAACACCACAAAAATATACCGACAATAAGATGGATCGTCAATCTGTATTTTCTCTGAGTGTTTTACCTCCTGAGTATGGCGACAATGAAGATACAAGAGGTCAAGTGCAATCTCAACTAGAACAATTTATTCTTCAGTTCCGCATTGACAATGCCTTCATCTACAGGTAGGAAGCAATTCACTGTCTGCGATATCCTGCTAATAAGTCCACATAGAGATCAAATCCGAGAAAATGTTCTGTTAAAACAATACTTTTGCGACGTTGATGTTGGGCATTTGATATCCTTTAATGAAGAGCTTGCACACCGACTTGCGACAGAACCTGCAGAGATTATACCCCTTGTAACAAACCCCTCCAGAGTATCCGCAAGCTACGTCTAACGCATACACAGTTCGAAAGCGCATTGAAGAAATGTACACATCGAATCGTATACCCCTCGGATAGAGATATTGTCCTTCCCGAGCATCAACTCCTCCTTCACTCCACAGCTTCAGAGATTTCAATTCGAGACTTGGACGCCCTCGCCATATCCCGACTTGTACGAGTACCAGGTATCGTTATAGGAGCATCAGTACTGTCCTCGAAAGCAACAGCACTAAATATACAATGTCGGAATTGTCGTTCTACAAAGATATTACCAGTAAATGGCGGATTTTCTGGTGTTTCATTGCCCAGAATATGCGATAGGCAAAAGATGCCTGGAGATCCACCTTGTCCCATGGATCCGTATGTGGTTGTTCATGAATCTTCCCAATTCGTTGATCAACAAATTATTAAGCTTCAGGAAGCTCCAGATCAGGTCCCTGTGGGAGAACTGCCACGACATGTTCTTATTTCCACCGATAGATATTTGACAAATAGAGTGGTACCTGGTACGAGATGTATGATCACCGGCATTTTTTCTATTTATCAAAACAAGAACACGAAAGGCTCTTCTACCACTTCGGCTGTTGCCATTCGAACTCCATACTTGAGGGCAGTTGGTATACATAGCGATGTTGACCACACTGCAAAAGGAAATGCAGTATTCTCGGAAGAGGAAGAACAAGAATTTCTCGAAATGTCACGCAGACCTGATCTTTACAGTGTCTTTGCTTCCTGTATTGCCCCATCTATTTACGGTAACAACGATATCAAAAAAGCGATAGCATGTCTCCTGTTAGGTGGATCCAAAAAGATTCTTCCTGATGGTATGAAACTCCGAGGTGATATTAACGTTCTTCTTCTCGGTGACCCTGGAACTGCCAAATCTCAACTCTTAAAATTCGTCGAAAAGGTCGCTCCAATCGCCATTTATACATCTGGAAAAGGTTCTTCAGCCGCTGGTCTTACCGCCTCCGTTCAACGTGATCACTCAACCCGAGAATTCTACCTCGAAGGAGGAGCTATGGTCCTTGCAGATGGAGGTGTAGTATGTATTGATGAGTTCGATAAAATGCGTGACGAAGATCGAGTAGCCATTCACGAAGCTATGGAACAACAAACTATTTCGATAGCTAAAGCGGGTATCACCACAATTCTCAATGCACGAACTTCGGTCCTCGCTGCAGCCAATCCTATTTTTGGACGTTATGATGATCTCAAATCACCAGGAGAGAACATCGATTTCCAAACCACAATTTTGTCGCGTTTCGATATGATATTCATTGTCAAGGATGAGCACGAAAGAGGCAAAGATGAAAAAATGGCAAGGCACGTTATGAACGTTCACATGGGTGGTAGAGGAAGGGAAGAACAAGCCGAGTCTGAGATTCCAGTTGAAAAGATGAAGAGATACATCAGCTACTGTAAATCGTACGCATTATTCCTAGAAACCGATCCCCTACATAACTAGAACATACAAAACTAACAGTCCACAGTCGTTGCGCCCCACGTCTCTCCCCAGAAGCCTCGGAAAAGCTCTCTTCCCACTTCGTCTCCATCCGCAAACAAGTCCACGCCACCGAAATGACAACCAACGAACGCTCATCCATCCCCATCACAGTCCGTCAACTCGAAGCCATCATCCGTATCACCGAATCCCTCGCCAAAATCTCCCTATCCCCCATCGCGCACGAACATCACGTCGACGAAGCCATCCGTCTCTTCCTCGCATCCACCATGGACGCCGTCCAACAAGGTGTCGCGCAACAAGGAAGTCGCGAGCTCCAAGACGAAGTCGCACGATTGGAAGAAGAATTGAAGAAGCGATTGCCCGTCGGCTGGAGCACTTCTCTCGCAACCCTCAAGCGCGAAATGTGCGAGGGCAGAGGCTTTAGCGAGATGAGTCTAGAGAGGGCATTGGTCGTGCTGCAGAGAAGAGATACAATTGCTATTCGAGGACAGGGTAGTCAGGTTTATAGGAGCGGCGCTTAGGGTTAACGTTGCGAGCGTGATATTTGATGTCTACATGAATGAATACCTCTGCGTTTGGCGTTTGGACGAAAGAAAGAAAGAAGGAAAGAATATTATGTTATTTACGAACGCATTGGATGCGAACGGACGTGTCTAGTGTCATACCCATCTAGGTAGTTGCTAGTAATTATATCAATGTCAACACCAAGTACCCCCTCATCGGATATTCTTTACTATCCATGAATTTTTGCCCGCAAGAGCTTTCAACAACAAAACACTATTCATCCGTCCATCCATCCACCCATCCATTCACACTTACCCATCTCCTTCCAACCGAAACAAAAAATTTCCCTTCCTCAATACATACAAACTCATTAATAATAGCAGCTACTTCCTACTCAGAACTACCTTTACCACACTACGCTGCTTCATTACATGAGTTCACCATCCCATCTCACTATTGTATCATATTTTCTCATCATCATTTACACTTCGCTTACACCTTACTCATCTCTTCTCATGCTACGATAAATGTATACTCGATCGGGCTTCATTCATCACCTTGATTGCCCAACCTATAAAATTCAAAGTCTATCTGGCTTCTCCCATCGTTTGAATGTGGCACGTTTGTATGTAGGTACCTAGGATAAGAGGCTAGGGAGTGAGATCGAGTTTCATTAAGTAAACTCCCTGATACGGGGATCTCACTGGATAAGTACCTACAGTAATGTGATAGCAAACTAATCGTCAGCAAATTAATCACCACATTTTATCATGAATGAAACGATTTTTAGTCACAATATCAAGAAGCATGGGAGGTTGGAGGTTCGAAATTTCATTTGTATTATTTTTTGGTATAAAGTAAAGATCCATTGTATCCGAACGACTATAGTATATGTACCTGAGAACTGAATTTTGTATTATCGAGGACGTGACATGAGCAATATGAGCAACTTTGTTTTGAGTTCCAAAAAGATCCGATCCGCCGATAGCTAAAGAAAAGAAAAGGGAAATGGGAAGCGTGCTAGCCATACCCGTGAAAATGATTGTGTCCTTTACTCCTCCGCCCTCCTTCTAGATACCCTATCTAGATACCAGTGATCTCGTTATCATTAAAATTTTCCGAGAGATAAGAAATAGTCATGATCATGAAGCCTACAACAAGAAGGCTGCGATACCAGCTACGGCAAGAGCACCGAAACTAGCATCAACCTTCATGGCAGCACCAGTGAATTGAGCTGGACTTGTTGCGGTGGCAGTACCGACGGTAGCAGGTGTGGAGACCAGGGTAGTAGCTTGAGAAGGAGTTGCAGCTGGAACAGAAGCAACTGGAACGCTAGCAAACCGGTGTCCCCTTGGACTGGAAACACTAGCGACAGGAGTCTCATGAACTGGGATACTGGCGACTGGGACACTGGCAACAGGGGTCTCATGAGCTGGGACACTAGCGACTGGAGTTTGAGCTGGAATGCTGGCAACTGGAGTCTCATGGATTGGAACACTGGCAATTGGAGTTTCATGGACTGGAACGCTAGCGACAGGGCTCTCATGGACTGGGACAGTAGCAACTGGAACGCTAGTAACTGGAGTCTCATGAACTGGAACGCTGGCAACTGGGGTCTCGTGAACTGGAGTGCCAACGGAAACAGTAACAACTGGGATGGTGACAGTTCCCGGAGCAGTGATTGTGTGAGGAATTGAGCTGACAATAATTGTAGTTGGTTCAGGGCAGTACGTAGTCAAGTAAGACACAGTGATGGTACTTGGAGTTGGCTTGACAGAGGGAACAGGTGTAAAATACACAGGAGTTCCGACTGAAACTGTGACAACTGGGATAGTGACGGTTCCTGGGGCAGTAATCGTGTGAGGAACAGAACTAATAGTGATTGTGGTTGGTGCAGGGCAGTATGTAGTCAAGTAAGACACGGTAATAGTACTTGGAGTTGGCTTGACAGAAGGAATTGAAACAATTGGGACAGTGATGGTTCCTGGGGCAGTAATCGTGTGAGGAACCGAACTGATAGTGATTGTGGTTGGTCTTGGGACGTATGTAGTCAAGTAGGATACAGTGGTACTGGTGGTTGGCTTGGCAGTTGGAACACTTGAGGTGTAACTGACTGTGCAAGGGCTATTAAAATAGAGTTAGTAAGGCTCAGATACATCAAATAAGAGAAAAAAGAACGTACCACTTTGTGACAGTCAAGGTTGTGGCTGATGAGATGGTGTAAGTGAAGTTCCCAATGGCAACGGTGGTAGGAGATGGGCAATAAGTGGTGTAGCTGCTGACGACTGTAGTGGTCCAGACGACGGATGTAGTCTTTGGAGGGGTTGAAGAAGTAGAGAATGTGTAGTTTCCATGAGGAACAATAACAGTAGTCTTTGGTGGCGCTAAAGAAGTAGAGGACGTGTAGTTTCCATGAGGAGGAACAACAACAGTAGTCTTTGGAGGCGCCGAAGAAGTCTCATTGCCATGAGGAGGAATAACGACGGTAGTCTTTGGTGGCGCTAAAGAAGTAGAAGATGTCTCATTGCCATGAGGAGGAACAATGACGGTAGTCTTTGGTGTAGCACTGGACTTGACACTGCTCTCGCTTGAAGATGGTTTGGTTGAGACCGAGGTGCTTGATGGATGTGGCTTGCTCACAGTGCAAGGACAGTCGGTAATGGTCAAAGTAGTTGACTTAGTGACAGTGTATGTCTGGGTTCCAAAAGTTAATGTAGTTGGAGTGGGGCAAACGGTTGTAAGAATGTCGGTGGTGTAAGTGGTCCATGTTGTGTGCTCGGTCTCTGTTGGCTTGACGGGCTTTGTGGTTGGTCCAGTGCTAAGAGGAACAGTTGGATGACTGGTGGTGACCGAGGAAGCGCTGCTGGCAACACTCGATGAAGCTGGAGCAGATGGAGCAGAGCTACTTGGTTTGTGTGAAGAGGATGCTGGGATAGTTGGAACAGTTTTATCAATGGTGGTAGAGTATGTACAAGGGCTGGATGGTTACGTCAGTATTTTGATCAAGGCTTCTCGGCCTTGATGGTCCAAAAGAACATACCAGTCGGTGATGGTCAAGGTAGTAGGAGCAGTGACGGTATAAGTACTCGTTCCCATGGAGAAAGTAGTGGGATGTGGGCAGACAGTTGTATAGATATCAGTAGTGATAGTCTGAAAGAGAAGCGGTGTCAGCACATGCAATCTGGTGGGGCAGGAAATATCAACTGATATCAATGAAGCATCAGAGAAGACCTACCGTATACGCGATATTGGTACCGTTGGAGTACTTTTGGCCGTTGACTACGGCAAGAAGCCCGAAGGCTGTGAGAAGCGATTGGAATGTCTTCATATTTTCTGATTTTCTCTCCAACGACTGTGATTGTATGATTACAATAACGAAAGTGGGATGGAATTAAGATATTGTGTTGATGGAGGGGGAGGTTGAAAGATGAGATTGATGTAACCAAACCTGAACGAGTGTGGTTATTGTTGATGAGTGATTTTCAGGAAGACAGAAAGAAAAGGTAGATGAAGATGGGATGTAGAGTCATTAAGTAGTTGGCGAACTTCATGCAAGCAGGCAGGTACGAGTTGCATGCATGCATTAGTGTTCTTTTTTCTTTTTTTCTTTCTCTTCTTTCCTTTTCTATCTTCTGTCGCCTCACTCTGAGATTTAGTCACTCGGGACAAGATTATGTCAAAGGTGAAGTCTGGTACTAAGTCGGTAGGTACGAAGGTCGGTACCAGCGAAAACTTTGCCTACCGGTATTGGAGGCGTGATAAGTAGTGTAGATAGTCGGTTACTAGGCAAGTTCTATGCGTGTGCGAATGGGGAAAGAACGACCATACGACTTGCCTTGCCATTTCTTATCCTACTGCGGTATTCGCGTACCTAGATTTTGCACCTCATTCAAGATCTCTGGCAAGTCCCGCCGCCCACCTTTCATTGAATGATCAATCGAAGCAGTTGCAGGGTGATACTACATACGATAGTGTTGGGCTTATGCAACGATATCAAGGCCTCAATCTTCAGACCTTTCCCTCCACCACTCACTACTCACCACTCACCACTTGGGTATAAGTTTTAAGTTTTAAGTTTGGATCTAATCTTTACGAGCTTCGATCCTCCACAAATGAAGAAGGAACTACTGCACATGCTGCATGTGCCTACGGCTTGGTATGCATCTACAAGTGGCTGTACTTGGATTATGAATGAGAATGAGAATGATTGAGGGTGGAAAGTGGTAAGTAAAATCGAGATGAACATCGGAACGACTTTTGATTCTTAAGCATAAGAGATGGGTGGAAACTTCGTACACCACCCCACACAAGATATCAACGGACGAACAACTACGCAAACTAGATAACGATGTAGCTTGACTATCATTCATTCGATATCCAAGACAAGAAAAGAAAGTACTCCAAGGTCCGGAATAACGATATAATGGGTTTGATACGATGATAATGATTGAGGATGGAAAAAAAAAGAAAGACTGAAATCTTTCTTCCGGATTCCGAACCATGTCTCATTCGACTTTTTGCTCGCCCACTACTCTGCATTGGATGTTCTTTCCACTTTTCCCCCGACTTCCAAAGTCTATTTTCCCGCACTTGATGATCCACTTGTGCGCTCAGATCTGCGTCATTGGTGAGCTGATTGATAGGATATCTATTTGGATCCGATGGTCCAGTCCAACACGAGAAAACTTTCGACTTCCCACGCACTGGGGAAAAGAAATCCATTTACCTACTAGGTAGCTACTTGACACCTTTTACGCCTATGGCTATCTAGTTAGAGGAAGTAACCGACTTCTATGTCCTAATTCTTACTTTAGGAGTTATTCCGAAAGTTACACCCTTTTCATTCGCTGACAGCTTTAGCACCTGAACGTTTCTCGTACTTTCCATCATCTCGTGGCCAATCGCTGCGATAATACTTACTCAATGGCTTCACATGTACCTGACTACTAGCGACCGTCATCGCTACTAACATGGCGGACAATGTTTTGCTTGGGTTGTTCTTGGTCCGCGCCCTCCTTGCCCTTCTCTTAGACTCCAGGTACCAAATTTCGAATTGCCCTAGGTAGGTGATAGCCGTCCAAATGCGAAGAGACCAAATGTATGCTTAAGCAAAAGTTACAAGTACGATAAGTGGGCGATTAGAACTCTAGGATACGACGTAATCGTGAACTTGAACAATTGGAGTGAGAGAAGATGAAAATCTTGTTAGATCGTTTATCCACCCCCGGGTAACGATTAGCGGAAAAGCTCGTCTCTTTTTGGTGTCGTGGACTCGTGGTGGCCCGTCCCCGTCCCGTTTGCTGGATCAGCACTCCGATAAGATGTTGTCCTCCGGCAGGACGGAACCCCGGGAAGTCAAAAAATAAAACAACTCTTTTCAAAATTCGATATCAATTCAGACAGTCATTTATTGATACAAGATATGGAATATGTACGAATTTGAAGCCCTTAAGTATACTTAATAATATGTATCCTTCTAATCTCATGTAAATTGAGATCATAGTGAGGAAACAGAATATTAGTGTTTTCATCATGTGAATCTACTCGAGTGATTGAGTGTAGGGCTTTCTTCATCCATGTGGAGACTAGGTATGTAGTCTCGAGGTAGTGTACACAATCGTCCGTTTGCCAAGCATGTTATCTGCTAAGAAATCGTGGATGTGGGAATACGAGGAGATAGTGAAGTAACATCAATCCTAACGAATAAGGAAATCGCTGAGTCATCATACTATTCTTCTCATGTCAAGCTTCATGCAAGGAGAAATGTCAACACAGTATGCCATCATGGTCGTTGGCTTGCTAATGCAATGTTATCGATAGATGCATTCGCCATAAAGATGGAGACATGAGGTGGGTTTGGTGATATGGGGAACGCAAGGTCGAAAGTTCACGTAGGGCTGGAGGAGGCTGGAGAGCAAAACTTGCTCTCGAACATTTAGCAAAGCGTTTATTTAGAGTATTGAAGGGATTTTCAACGACACTTCCCACTGCTTCTAGACCACAAATCCGGCTTGTAGAAAGAGTGAAGATCTTTCGAAATACCCGACCTAGATCACACTCTTTACATGGATTGGAACCGCAACATCGCAAAGATTCTGATGCTGACGTCAAGTATGTATTTTTTTGGTGGACACTTCCATTCGATTGATTTCGGTCCGACCATCACACGAAGATCAGGACCGAATGAGCAACAGCGAGTGGCAAAAAGCCGCAGAGTGCTCTCCGGACGACCGTCAAAAATTGGTCCATGACTATTCCGCCATCGGGAATTGATTGCCAACTTCCAATTCGATTCGCTTCCTAGGAAAAGGCAACAAACTATCTTTTATTGCGTCGGGGAATGGCCCCACAAGACGGCGCGGACATCTATTTTTGTAATATCTTGGCTTGATAATCAGCCTGCTTAGGTGTTGGATAAGTACCAAATACGACACGATCATGCCATACAGAAGATATGTTGGCAAGCCGTCCAAGGACACGGATACATCATCTTTTTGATGGTTCCCATCTTTTGAAAGCGAAAAAACCATCAGCCCAATGATTGTCTCGTCGATCCAAAAAAAACTGCCTACTATGTCTTCACATGTCATCGAATGTCTTCAAGTACGAGGTATGAGGTTGAATAGGTAATACCTTCGCTGCCCGCTCCGGTATACGAACTGTCATCTAATGCCCATGATCCAATCTCGACATTTGGAGAATTTCGAGCCGTAAGAATGGTTCTGTATCACACATTTCCGCCGATATCTGAAGCTTTCTCTTTCAAGGACTTCGAGCCCTTCTTATACACTCAGTACAACGCCGTTGACCCTACATCACGCGTTCACACGAGGATGACATTCGTCCACATTCTAAACTTCACATGCAGCCACGCAACCTATGTTATTGTCTAATACTATCACAGATTTGAGCTTCACCACCATACAATCCCTCACACAACATATGATTTAGCACAGTATGGAGAAAGCATCACCTCTTACTCTTGACGCTGCAACACAAACTTCCTGTCAAAACCTCGGCAAAATGATTTTCCCTCGCAGGCCCTGAAACATATCAATCTCTCAAAACACAGCATTACTTCTACTTCTTTCTTCAACTCGTTTCCAGGCCTAATACGATGACCAATTCTGATTACATGTCCCAATACTTACAAGCCTACAACTACCCGGTATTTGTATGGAATTCTCAAACAATCCTGAGTCCAGAGTCCAGACTCTCTGTAGGCGCAGCAATGAACTCTCAGCACGGCCTGCAAATTCAAGAACGGTGTTTGTAATTGTCGATCCCGATTTGCATTACTTGATTTATGCACCTCGTCGGCTTAACATAAATTATCAGCACAAATGTCTCCACCTTTATTAACCCTCCTCGCCTCGTCGGGGATAAAAGAGAGACCTTGAAAAGATTTCTACTCAGAGTTTTCTTTTCATCCTTCTCAATTCGTGGTAGTCCCATTGTCATGGGGACTCACTCGGAATCTTCCATCTGTTTAATAAGCTCGTCAACAAGCTTTTAGGTCAAACATAAATCCGTCTCACACTTTTCTCGTTGTGGGATTTTTTCTTCACGCAGGTCCGCATTATGTGACGTATACTGGGGCGTGAGGACGAGAAGATCTTTGCAAATCTTTTCATCTAGATTCTATGGTAGTCGAGGAAGGATAAATGAATCCAGAATATCTATACGAGACTCCGATAGGTCTGGGATAGAGTCTTCACCGAGTTCCCAAATCAGTTCCTCAGTCCGTATTAGACTATCGTATATTCACATGAACGAAATGAAGCATGTCTACATTCACGTCCATCCACGTTTCCGTGATTTAGCCACCTAAGGTTACACTGGTAAGCGAATCATATCTGGCCATTACCCATATGCTTCAATCTGTCACCAACCAAAGTCACCAACCCTATCTCCTTCACATGCCAGTTTGCAAAAAGAATCCACGGATGCCCAAAAGCGGTGTATCCCTTCACATTTAACCCAAGCGTACGGGAAGAACCTCCGTTCAAGAACACGTCCAGACTCCAGCAGGGCAGCATAGTAAAATCTAGATCATGAATCGCTACTCTCCCCGGGGATCCTACGGTAACTCAATCCGAGTGGTTGTTTCTATAGAAAACCTTACTCAGCAATCGGAAATTACGATAGGCAGTCGAGGCAGCTCGTGGTTTCATCGCGTAATTTACCACATGTCGAGCCCCGCTATTACGCCGGTGCTCTGGTTTGAGACTTTGAGAATAGGTTAGTTGTTGATCTCTTCATGGTTGTTTGTTATTTCGGAATCCTGCGGTTTGCAACTTGCCATACGGACTGTTTCTGAGATATTGA